ACTGCATAATCTACATTCATGTTACAGTTGACTTCCTGCTTATTAGAAATGTAAATCATCTTGAACATAAAATCTCAAAGGCAAAAGTCTCACATCCAAGGTATTTCTTCAAGGGCATCATTGAAGCCTTCAGGTTAGCTTGGTGGATGTCATGAAAGTCTCAGGGCCCCTCAGATGTGATGGGAAGGTCGCTGGAGGACACCCTCCCTCTGTTATCCCTAGCGAGTCCCTTCCAGGAAGGCTCCTCAGAGCCTCGACAGGTACACAGCAGACTCCCTGCCTCTGCGGGAACTTCTTACTGAGAAACTTGATTGTAGATGGAAGCTTCTCAGCACGTTCCAAACTGTAACCATGGATCAGTGTGGGCCATGTTCCAGTTGAACATACTAGGAAGTGCTTTGCTCTCTCCGTTCCCATGGATGCAGAGCTCTACGGCTTTTGTTTCCTTACACTCTACAGAACTTGAATAGCATGTGAGTGCGTTTCCAGATGCACAGAGACTGGAGGTGACTGTACAGGAGAGGTCCGCTTAGTCGCTCCTCTTTGCATGTGTTTGAGACAGGTGCTCCGTAATCCAGTATTGCAGATTATTTAAATGAGAACCTGGTTTCATTTGTCTCGCCGATTTTTAAACATTATCTTTTTGTAATTCCTTTTTGTAGACAGCTGATTTTACTTCTAGAGTTATATAGTCCCAGAGATGTTTATGACTATTTACGTCCCATTGCTCTGAATCTGTGTGCAGACAAGGTTTCTTCTGTTCGTTGGATTTCCTACAAGTTGGTATGTATTGAACTTTTAAAATTTTAGATCAGTAAACTCTAAGATCCTAGATTGGAAGCTGTTCCTCACTTCACACTCACCCTCCCAGGTCAGCGAGATGGTGAAGAAGCTGCACGCGGCAACACCGCCAACGTTCGGCGTGGACCTCATCAATGAACTTGTGGAGAACTTTGGCAGATGTCCCAAGTGGTCTGGTCGGCAAGCCTTTGTCTTTGTCTGCCAGGTAAGCGAGGCCCTGGGCTTACCTGTTTGTGAGTTTTTCTCCTAGAAGAATGTCTTCTTTGACTTCCTACCTCTCTCTCATCCTCTTCCTTATTCTTAAGAAACAGAACCTTACGGTAGCCTGGCTGTTTCTAGGATCACCTGTCCCCATTGTTGGGCATCTGCTGGCCCCTCCCTCCCAGCCAGCCAAGCCCCTTCTTACACTGGCACGCACCACGCACACCCCACGTGCCTGCTGTACATGCATGTTCCACACCACACACCACATGCCTGGAATGTGCGTGTTCTGCTCTACACACATTCAGATGTGTGCATGTGTACATTTGACAGTGCACATACAATGCGTGTTCCTCACTGCATATTATACAGGCATACATACATGTACCACACCACACACATACTGTGCACACATATGCCATACCACGGTTCCCACTAGAGGGTGCTCATGCCTGGGACCCAGAGCACAGGTGTGAAAATGAAAGTGTGAATGAACACTCTAGGTCTCCGTAGAGCAGTTTAAAACCTGTCTGTCCACGTGGGCAGTTAATTATGTAATTTTTTATTTGAGTTCCCAAGTACCTGGAATTTTGGTTAAAAAGCAGTAAGTAAAATTTGTGCCTGTGGTCACTCAGAGCTTTTGTTGGCCAGCAGTCGAGTTTTTGGCTGCATTGACAGAGAAGCCTAGAGCAGCTGTTTCTTTTCCCCAGACTGTCATTGAGGATGACTGCCTTCCCATGGACCAGTTTGCTGTGCATCTGATGCCACATCTGCTGACCTTAGCAAACGACAGGGTTCCTAACGTGCGAGTGCTGCTTGCAAAGACCTTAAGGCAAACTCTGCTAGAAAAAGGTAGGTAGTGACTCTACTAGAAGCGTGTGAGTAGAGAGGGAGGTCTGTCGACTGCGCTGATCAACAGATACCAAAGCAGAAGTATTGTCTGCTCAGAGAAAATAATCTGGTGGAAGGAAATATTTTAGTTGTTCTGGTGGTTCTCCCAAGAGGGCATGGAAGATGAAAGGGGTTTTTTAGCCCTCTACTGTTCAATTTGGAGTTTATCGTAGGCATGGATTATTTTTATCATTTAAAACTTAGCTTTTTTGTTTGCTTGATTTTTTGAGACTGAGTCTCATTCTGTCACCCAGACTTGAGTGCAGTGGTGCGATCTCAGCTCACTGCACCCTCTGCCTCCCATGTTCAAGCAACTCTTCTGCCTCAGCCTCCCCAATAGCTGGGATTACAGGTGCCTGCCACCACACCCAGCTAACTTTTTATCTTTTTAGTAGAGACGGGGTTTCACCATGTTGGCCATGTTGGCCAGGCTGATCTCAAACTCCTGACCTCATGTGATCTGCCTGCCTCAGCCTCCCAAAGTGCTGGGATTACAGGCATGACCCACCATGCCTGACCTAAAACTTAGTTTTTAAAATTGGGTATTCATTCTCTTTATGTGCAAACCATTGGCTGGCAGCATGCCACTTGCAATCTTGCAATCTTCAGTATGGAGGCTGGTACCTGTGTTTGCTCTCCCTCCTTCTCTTCATTAAGCAAGAGACAGATGCCCCGTAGTATTTGTTTTGTTGGAAATTATAATCTCTTCAAGATTAAAGTGGTTTATTTTATTTAATCGACCCCCACCCCGCCTGCCACCCAAACACCTCATCAATATAGTTGCATGGATGAATGAAGCACAGAAAGAAATTTGTAGTAGACGTCAAAGAATAAGGATAAATGAATATTGCTGCTTTTTTTCCTCCTTTTTTTTTTGTAGTTGGTGTTTGGAAGCGTTTTTCTTTTACTGCTACTTAATAGCTAAGAAGTGTGATGTTTTCATTTATTTATTTATTTATTTAATAATTTAATATTCCTTAGCTGTCATTGAATATCATGAGATTTAGTCTTATAAAAACAAGATAAATCTCATAACTCTTTTTATTCTGGCACTTTTTCTTCCTATAACAAATCAGGTTGGATTACTGTTTATGTTTCGGTGTGGCTTCTGTTTGTACTTGTAGAAATACCCAGTTTAACTGTTTATACTCGTACTTGACGGAACTCTGAAATGTTCCGTTGGACTGGTTTCATCTGTCCTGTGCACGTGTCATTTCCAGACTATTTCTTGGCCTCTGCCAGCTGCCACCAGGAGGCTGTGGAGCAGACCATCATGGCTCTTCAGATGGACCGGGACAGCGATGTCAAGTATTTTGCAAGCATCCACCCTGCCAGTACCAAAATCTCTGAAGATGCCATGAGCACAGCGTCCTCAACCTACTAGAAGGCTTGAATCTCGGTGTCTCTCCTGCTTCCGTGGGAGCCGAGGTTCAGTGGGCGTTCCGCACGTATGTGACCTGGGATAGCTTTCGGGGGAGGAGCGACTTCCCTCTCCTGCAGGCTTCATTGCAGGTGCAAGTTGCCTATACCCAATACCAGGGATTTTAAGAGTCAAGAGAAAGTACAGTAAACACTATTATCTTATCTTGACTTTAAGGGGAAATAATTTCTCAGAGGATTATAATTGTCACCGAAGCCTTAAATCCTTCCGTCTTCCTGACTGAATGAAACTTGAATTGGCAGAGCGTTTTCCTTATGGAAGGGATGAGATTCCCAGAGACCTGCATTGCTTTCTCCTGGTTTTATTTAACAGCCGACAAATGAAATTCTTACAGCCTGAAGGCACACGTTTGCCCAGATGTGAAAGAGACCTTCAGTATCAGCCCTGACTCTTCTCTCCCAGGCACAAGGACTTGCTGGGCTGTGTGACCAGCTGTCCAGCCCAGCCCTGTGTGTGAATCATTTCTGATGTGTGTAAATGGGAAAGGAGGGTTTTTTACTTCCCCTGAGGGCTTGATGCTAACACAAAAGTAGGATTGACTTTAACTCTTAAGCGCAGCATATTGCTGTACACATTTACAGAATGGTTGCTGAGTGTCTGTGTCTGATTTTTTCATGCTGGTCATGACCTGAAGGAAATTTATTAGACGTATAATGTATGTCTGGTGTTTTTAACTTGATCATGATCAGCTCAGAGGTGCAACTTCTTCACATACTGTACATACCTGTGACCACTCTTGGGAGTGCTGCAGTCTTTAATCATGCTGTTTAAACTGTTGTGGCACAAGTTCTCTTGTCCAAATAAAATTTATTAATAAGATCTAGAGAGAGAGATATATACACTTTTGATTGTTTTCTAGATGTCTACCAATAAATGCAATTTGTGACCTGTATTAATGATTTAGTTTAAAGTGGGGAAACTAGATTAAAATACTTGTCTTTTAACTAGTTTATTAGTTTCTCTGGAATCTGCCTGTGTCCCCGGGGTTGGGTCTTGTTCTTGGCAGCAGCAGGTGCCTCTTGGGTGCTCCTCCTGCTCCTGCCTACAGCCCTAAGGGCAGGTGGGTGCCGAGTGTCTGGCACAGCTTGGACACCCCCCCCCCCACCGCCCGAAGACAGCGGGTGGGCGGTGGGGGGGTTGTCTTGAAGCTCCTGAGACACAATCAAGCATCTCTGAGCCTCGATTTCTTCATCAGTAAAATGGGAATTAGTAAAACCTGCCCTGTTTCTCACAAGGTTGTTTTGCAGGCAAATGAAGTCCTCTGTGAAAGGTGGTTTTGTAAAGTGCTGCGTGTATAAATGTTCGATGTTCCTGTAAGCCTGGTTTGAAAACCTTGGCCTGTCTGAGTCCCCTGGTGCTTCTGTGAGTTTTGCTTTTATTTAGTTAGCCAGGGGGGACGCTCAGTAAGTCAAAATAAGTTCCTTTGAACTTCAGTGTGGGATTTGAGAATACATGGGCTGCTTCCTGTCTACACTATTACAAATAAGCCTTTGCTGCTGCTTCTCACATTATAACCCAGATATTTACACACTGCAGATATAAGTGTGAACAGATTTCACTGGGAAGGATGTTCAAATAAATGGATAAATGCATAGGTAATATGTGAAGTGGGTAATGGGGGCAGGGCTGGGGAGTAGCTGTGGAGGGTGTGGGGTGGTCTCCGAAGGCCTCTGAAAGCATCAGAGCAGAAACTGGAGGAGGACCTGGCCCCTTGATACAGCCTCATGTGTGAGCTGCAGATTGTCTGCTATTGTATACTTTTGGCCCCCAGGATTTCAGTTCTGTAAACTGCATTAGAATCATACACTAGTAGCAGCATTTTTTTTAAAGCAGTGGCTATGCTAACATGGTATATTTGGGGGTAAAGAACTTGAATTTGGCCCTCTCCCTGCTCCGCAAAAAAGCCCCTATATGTGGCATTTAAGGGCCTTTCTGCCCCCTCCTCTGTCCAGGCTTGCTATCACATCTCCTGGGTCGCCTGGGCTGTAGTCTAGAACATTCCAGGGGCACTGCCCACCTTCCCTAAAAGCTGTAGGATCTTACACTGAAGGCTTTGCCTGCTAACTGACTCTGGCTTTTCCTTCTATCCCTTGTGAGAATCATGGGCCAGGGCTGAGGCTGCAGACATGGAATTGGGCGCGTTGTCTCCGTGGAGAGCTCCAGAATGCCAAGGCTGCATCTTTCTCCGCCTGGCTGGACACAGAAGGTGTGTTTGTTCTTAAGATATCCTAACACATAACGAGCAGTGTGCTCTTCACAGAAACAGCTGCAGTGAAAAAAAAAAGACCACGCTGCACTAGAGCCCATCTCGGGAGGTGACCTCAGGCCTCACACCTCAGTACCTCCAGATTCCCAATGCTAAATGTACCTCATCCGGGCGTCTGAGACTTTCCATCAAGGAGAATTTAGCTATATAAATGTAACATTATAGATTTAACTACACAAAACAGAAGACAGAGAAGTCAGCTGTTTGTTTGTCTAAGCTTTCAATGACAGATACTTTAATTGTGGAATTTTTAAAGCAAAAAAAAGCAATGGAAACTTCATTTTTATTCTAGACCAGTCTATCCCAGACATGCTAATTATGGTTGGCTGTGCTGAGTCCTCATTTACCGTGTGAAATGCAAATATCTGTAAATGGCAATGCCTGGGGCCAAGCCAGGCCAGCGGACTTGTATGCAGTTCCCACCGGAGCCAGGAGCTGCCCAGTCCGCAGACCCAACCCAGTCCGCTGGGTTTTGCAAACACACACAGGCTCCCTCTGCAGCAGCGTGGGCTCGTGGAAGGGAGGCACGCCGCAGCCAGCATGCATGCCAGGGGTCCGGGGTTCTCCCCGTGTCTGCAGAGGTGAGGGGTACAGCTCAAAGAGGTGAGCTGAAAACAAAACACTGTGTTCCCCCTTGGCCTTGAAGAAGTGCCTCAGCCACCTCCTCACCAGCCGCAGAGTACTCAATCTCCTCACAGAAAGAATGTATACAAAAACACTAGAAGCTTTTCTTTTTCCCAAATGGCTGTTGAATTTATTTGCTTGATCAATAATGGTCCTGGCAAAAATTAGTTAACCAATGCTGAGACATTTGTAATGAAATACTAATTTTAAAAATCCATGACACCTTGATAGAAATTAGAGTTTACACAAACAAACAAAAAAGGAACCTTCGATATTGCCAGCAGCTACAAAGTGAATGTACTGAGACCGACAGGACAGCAAGAAGGCATTTGCACATTTATATCTGACACCCGACCATACTTTCAGTCACCAGAATATCTTCTCTCCAGATTTAAAAAAATAGTATGCTGATTTCTATAACAAAGCTTTTTTCCGTACAAAAATCAAATAATGGCCAACGAGTCACAACAGTGCAATAGGTAGAGGATTAAAAACTGCATCAAACAGGTGCTGAAAATAAATACTACCTAGGAGGAGGAGGAGAGAGCCCTCGTGTGGGGTTTTTTTTCGTCCCCTTGAGTGTGTGTGGGGTTTGTCTTCCGAACCACGAGCCTGGCCTGTCTCACGGTGCTATTCACTCTGACAGAGTGCACCTGCAGCACGTGCCTCCAGGGCCCGGCCTCCCAGAAGCCTCAGAGCATCAGAGCATCCGCCTCAGAGCATCAGAGCATCCGTCTCATGTCTCATCGGATGGACCAGAAACAAGAAAATAGGGTGGGGCGAATCACAGTTACCATTCAAAGGAAAGGAATTTTTTTCTATTGCTCAATCTTGTCAATTGGGAGTCAGTCCACCAGTAGGTTCACTGAGACGATATGGATAATTTCAAACTTTTGTTTAAGAGCATATATATGGCTTATTCAGGCAAGGAGACGTGTACATTCTAGCCCAAGCAAGCAATCAGAGTCAGTCATTCAGTTTTTAAGGAAGGTCAGTTGTTTAAAAGATTTCTGGTTTGAGCAACATCCTCTGTGGATGCACCAGGCCAAGGTGACTACCTTTGACCAACCCAGTGAGAAGGCCTTTGCTGGTCCCCGCAGTGAGGAACCCGCGGGAACGGGCGGCCTCCTCCCCGCAGGCCTGCGCTGCCCAGGGCGGGTGGGCGGGCTCCACAGGCAGCCCGTCTGTAGCCAGATAGGCCATCCTGGTGACTCGGGCTTATGGACTGCGGTTTACAACTGCAGGAGACAGTTAGGAGGGTGGGCCAGGGAACACCCACCAGGCGCTGCTCTGACCAGTCAGAGAACGTGAGGCAGCTCCCCCATAGGGATCTGCACCGAGAAGGTGTGGAAGGCACAAGCAAGAGTGACGGTACCAGAGATCCCGGAGGGCGTGGCTCGCGGCGGCCACAGCAGGCGCAGCGCTGACCTGGTGTGGTTCCCCCTTTGAATGAGAAAGAGATCCTGATTCTGCTGTGATAAAAAAGCAAAGAAAGACGATTTTTGGTTTAAAAAGAAGCCACTCAAGGGTTAAAATAGTTATTTTAAGTTAACAAAGAAAATGAATCTTCAAATAAGCTGACACTATCTGGAAAACTCATCTGTCCCTAAAGCCCACAATGTGTCCACTGCTTCGTCCTCCCATGGAACCTGAGCCTGACGCGAAGGAGTCAGACGTGTGACAGAGGAAGAGTCTGAGAAGAGAAGACACCTTTACAGAATGTACAGCGGGAGAGCCGGCCTGGCCCCCGGGTTACAGTAAGATGCACGGGTCCTTTCAGTCTCGCGGACTCCAGACGGCCGCGCAGGCTGCTCAGATGGACGTCTCCTTCCTGTCCCTGCTGGGCGATGGCTTCGCCGGCTCCTTGCCTGCCTTTGGCTGCTCTTTAGCTGCTTTCGGCTCGAGGACGCCGTCTCTGGGCGGCTGGACGGCACCCCCGCGCCACTCAGGCTCCTGGTCCTCCTGCGCCTGCTGCTCGGCCTTGGCCCGCTGCATCTGGAGCAGCCGCAGCTGCACTCGCAGCTCGATGATCGCCTCGCGCTCCTCATGAATCGCTTGATTCAAATGATTGTTCTTTATCTTGGGGAATGACAGAAAGGACAGTTACCACTTAGGAAGTCAGAGGACGATTTCTCAGGAGCAGAGCGCAGTTAGCAAGGGCATCCTACAGAGGAACCTGGTTTTAAGTCAATGGGTTGTGAAACAAGACACACACAGGGAGAATGCACAGTGCACAGTGAGGGCCACGTGACTCCTCAGAATGTGAGGCTGGAAACCCCGCTCCTGGTTACTGGAGAGAGACACATCCATGTGCCAACCGAAACCCGTCATTTTAATAATTCAGTGTCCTAGTGTTTAAAATAGACAACTCATAACTTCGAACTGGCTTCTGAACAGCCCTTAAGGAGAAAATAAAAGTAATTTTAGCAGCAATTAGGGGAGTTAGAGATCAGATAAAAAACTAGATTTGTTTCAAAGGTGAATATCCTTTGTCTTTTGTGAATGGCATTACTTAATTCTGAAATGTCCTACTCAATCAAACTATAGAAAATTACTATCAATTCTAAATCATCTGGACATACTCGGCAGAGTTTAGGTACCGCGGAATAGCAGCGGCCCTGCCCGCCATGGCCTCCACTCTGTGGCGGGTGCCAGCTTCCCTTGCTTGGGTGTGGCATGGACTAGGCTCTGCAAAAGGGGCGTAGACATAAGCACAAGCACCGAGTGCCACGCGTGCACCCTGTCCTTGGCCACTGGGCATGCCTTCTCCCTTCCCTGCTAACTTAGTCCTGCTAGGAGTGGCAAGACAGAGCAGCCACACTGGACCCCGCGTGGAAAAAACTGGTGTGGAGGATGATGGGCTGGACCACCTGCCACACAAGAGACACCATCTTGTTTAGACCACTATGTTCTTCTCTCCATTACAGCAATTCCGCCTACACTCCAAGTACAATACTTCTGGATTCTGTTTTCCTACTCAGAGTCGGTGGCTGTGTGTGGAATTCTGCTTTTCTATGCAGGGGGTAGTTCTGGTTCGCACCAGCCACTGAGCCAACC